ATTACTTCCAAATAAGAACATGCTTTCATTTACTGAAATTAGATCCCCATTCACTGTGCTGGCACACTCTGGGCTGTCTTCTCCAGAGAGTTGGGCCTGTTAGATGGCACACAGTTGGAAACTGGGGGCATTGAGTCATTGCCAAGGCTGGCAGACCTTTAAGATGGCATCTGTTGACCTTTTTGCAGAGCCTCCTGGGTCCTCCATTTGAGATTTGATGTTCTCAGCAGGGGTGTAATCCAAATCAACTGTGAGATCTGGAGAGTTGGAGTTACATAGGAGGTGGGCCAGTGGGGGCCTCTACATTGCTTTGGGCAGAGAAGGCAACTGGATACTCTGACAGTGTTTCTTTCTAACCCTGAGACTCTGGGCTCAAGCGCTGAACTGCAGGAAAAGCCCAGTGTGAGAGAGGCAACAGTTGGGCAAATTGAGCAGTTTCCTCCTCATTTATTTATCACCCAGCAATTCAGTAGTCCTCCCTAATCGCTATAGTTCCTGGATGACACTAAACTCTTCACAGCATCCCTGAGAGCAGCAGCTGAGGTCAGAAATACAGAAGCTAACTGTGCAGAAGCTCACTGTGTCTTGCTTCCAAGAGGGTCTTGCTGGAATTCTTTTCCCTTCTTTTGAAATGGCAAATTTCTATTTTCAGTTCTGCAGGTAGGCAGCACACAAGCAAGAAGGAAGAGCTGTGAGTTTGTGAGCAGCTTACGGGCCAATGTGTGTTGACGAATTGTTTGTGCTAACAACAGACACACGCTGTTTCTCAGCTGGGGAGTCATTTTCATGATCATTTAAAGTGCTATGTATCCTTCTTTAAAAACAGCTTCTACTTGGAACAGATTTAACAGGTTATTTTTGGTTTTACATCTACTGAGACTGTTTTAACAGACAGGCAGATACATTTCACATTGCTCAGGCAATTCTCTCCTAAAACTGTCCACCAAAGGATTTTGAAGGTGATAAAAGCAAAAATGATCCATACCCCTTGCTTCATCCAGAAAAATTGACACTCTGCTCCCTGGCCATGGTTGCCTTGAAATACTGCACTTTCTGTTTCTAGTGCCTTCTCATGCCCATGTTCCTAACATAATCCCACATCTCACAGATCCTCTCCTGACTCTGCTGGAGTAGAAATTTAGGTGAAGTCAACTCTACTTTAGTTAAATCCTAGCCCCACTCCTGAAAAGTCTTGTTGAACTATACAGATCACTTAAGTTCTCTTAATTTCTTCATTCAAAAATGAGCATAACATGAGCATTTACTATAGGGCTAATCAGAAGATTAAATAAGTTAATGTGTATGAATGGTTATTGTGCGGCTCTTATGTAGTTAAATGCTCCATAATACTCTTATTTTTGCAGCTATTACTTACCACAGTCTCTCTCTTTCTCGTGAACTTCAGATAACATCAAGTCTTTGCAACATTCGCTTGATATTTATATGATTTATAGGCTAATTAGGTGAGTTTCATATTATTTATGTGTGTTTTATACCAGTTTCTCCTAACACTTCAAATACATGTATACGTGTACTAAGTGAGGTAAGTATTCTTCAGTGAATAACACCCATATAGAAAACAGAAGAGTCCCCAAACCTCAGAAAACTCTGACATCCTCTTCTGTGGGCTACACCTTTTTGAAAAGATAACCATTATCCTGATTTCTAGAAGCAAGTTTATAACAGTTACTAATTTTATTATTTGTGCTATGTTGGCAAAACCAAATGAAATTAAATTTCTTGAGGCCAAGGACACCACATTACCTGTCTGTTCTTGGTGCAAGAATAATTTATTAAATAAATACTTTTACTCTAAGATTTCTATTGCCCTGTTGCAATTGAACTGAACCTATATGGCAAGACCCCCGCCTGGATGATCCCCCACTATTGACCTTTGCTTTTCCATGAACATGACTTGACAATCCTAATGGATTGAAGCCACAAAATCTATGATCTCCAACCTTCTTTGGTCATTTAAGGTGTTGGACCAACCTTTCTTCTCCAAGAAGCTTTCATCTACGCTTCATAGAAGTTATCTCCTCCCATTCCCCTTAATTCAGAATTCCTACCCCAGCACATTCCTCCTGGTTTCCAAACCACACCTCTGTCTTATATGCTGAAAAGAAAGTTCAAGTTGTCAGCAGTTTGATCACTCTTCTGTCATCAGATGTACAAATTTACTTGCATCCTCATACTACTAACTACTAATCTACCCTTCAGGGTTGCATGTTTGTTTATTCAGTTTTAATGATATACCACTAGTTTGCCTATCCATGTAATTTGGGGAGTAGCTCCTGATACCTGCCTGTGTGCATCTGCGTCACTCATAAGCCCCCTATGCTGTTTCCCACAATGACACCTCATTTCACTTGTCTTGATTCCTCTTATTTCATCAATAATAACCTCCTCTATCCTCTGGCTCACTGGCACTTCACCATTGCACTTTTTATTATTTTTAAAATTTATTTATGCTTAGAAGAACTGGGGTACAGTCCAGAGGTTTGGGGGTGAGAGGATTTACCAGAGACAGAGTGGGGAGCAGAACAGGCAGATCTATTGAAATACACTACTGAGGGGAGCAGTGGGTAAGACAGGAGAGGTCTGCTGCTCCATGTGTGGGTTAACTCCCTGGCCGAATCTAACTCAGACCACAGTGGTGACAGTGAGAGACTTAACTGTTAGACCATCTGGGAGGCCCCACCATTGCTTTTAAATGTGTCACAGTCTTTACTGTCTTTCAACATGATCATAACTATGCTCCATAGGGAACCCACAGTGCCCTTCTATCATCACTTCATCTCTCTCCTTTCTTGTACCAAACCTTTGACAGAGGCCTTTGTTCTTCTTGTCTTCACATGCTTATCCCATCTCCTTCCTCACCTCACTTCAGTTTAGCATTCACTTCCGCTTCCTCACTGAAGCTCCTTTTACCAAACTTCCTAACAACATCCTTGTGGCTGAACTCAATGGATGCTTTTCAGAACTTACCTTTTTTTCAGCAGCATGAGGGTTTGCTAATCCTAAGCAGCCTGTTGGGCCATCATTTTGTTACCTGCAGCTCTGCATTTCTACACAAGGTTAGAACTGCCCTTTAGTAACCAGTCTATTAGTTGTAGAAGCCAAACCTCACACAGGGCCTTTCAAATCAGTTGAGCAGAAAGTTGGTCATCCTGGAAGGGTATGCATCAAGAGGTATGACCAGAAACACCAGAGGGGCTGAGGGCCAGTATATGACAAGGCACCCCAGAAGCTGACCAGCAGAACACCTGGTTGATAAGTTTGAAACCCTGCCTGGGGAACTAGGGCTGGGCCTCAGTTACAGTAGGGATCCATTAGCAGATGAGAAGTACCTAGAGGGCAGAGACACAATCCCTCATACTATAGATGACAGTTCCACCCTTCCCCTTTTTCTTTTACCTTCTTCCTCCTACAATGGATGCTGGATGCTTATTTTATCAATAAATAGATCAAGATCTTGCTCTTTAGCAGTGTCCTGCATTATATAACCTGCTCCACAACTCCCATGTCTTTATCAGTGTGGTGTTCCATGACACAACTGTTGACTGGAAAGTTAACCTTCCGTTTGTTGTCTAGACCCCACTTTCCTGGTTCTCCTCTACCTTACTGGGAATTACTTCTAAAATCATTCAGGGCTCTTCTTCCCTCTGTCAGTTCTGATATCCCTCAGAGTTCTTTCCTAGACTGTGTTCTCAGGCTGCTCACCACCAAAACTATTACTGTAAAATAACATACATAATTCAAATAATTGCCTACAGTTTGACTTTATTCAAATTAGCAAGTATTAGAGCAATTGCTTTCTAGGCAAATGGCAAAGAAAGCTATTTTGAATTTATTTTTCCTGATTATAAAATAATATTTATTCATGTAGAAAATTATAGTAATAGTTTATAAGGTATTATGTAATATTACCTGTAATGGAGTATAGTGGAATATCCTGAATCCTACTACCCAGAGGTACTTAGTGTTCACTTCTAGTGTATGTCCTTCTAAATATACTTAGACAGACATGTATACATGAAACACAGATATCATATGCATGCATTCCACATAGCTGAGATAATTAAATTTGTCACTATTCTGTTTAACTGCACATTTTCTTGTGTCACAACAATTGTTCATAACTATTTTAATGGCTTCATAAATTTATCCTATGAACATAGAATGAAATAGTAAGTTTAAAGACCTGCTGCTGAATAGTGTCTTTAATTTTTCTTCTTCTGCATTGCTTTCCATGATTCACATTTTTAAAAATTAGTTTCTGAAACCCAAGTTCATCTTCTTGGGTTTTAATGCATTTTGTTACTTTACCTACTATATTAATTCTGTTTATGTGGTTGTTAGTATTGAGCTCCTGATTTCAAAGATGTCTTCCATATTCTGTATTTAAAATGGTGACTTGTCATAGTTTTGACTTGTAAGTTTTTAGTGATTAAACAAGATTGAGTAATTTTTCAGTTTTATTCTTTGCATTCCTTTGGTTTATTCCCATCATTTCTCCCTTTCCTTTCTTCTATTTAATATTAAATATAAATGGAGAATTACTGAGAGACATAGAAGCTTCGAGGTACAGTAACTGAGAGGCATAAAGCAGACCTGTTACTGGAAACTGCCTTGACTGACTTTCTTTTCTAATTACAAAGATTGAAAATACCTGTCAGACTTGTAAATAAGATATGCAATAATGTCTCTGGTTTGTTTTTGACACCACCCTTACTTATAGAAAGGGTTTTGGAGCAGATGGATATATTATGTTTGCAAGTATGAGGAAAGAGTAGGGGAAGATAAGCCTAGGAGGATAATAACATGGTCTTTCTGTGGAAAATAATCCATAGACAAATAACCAAGTTTACTTCTTCATTTCACCATGCTGAGCTCCTGCCGTACACACCACCAGATGAAAACCTTTCATTTCCTGTGCCAACCTGATGTGTCAAGAGTTTGCCTTATAAGTAACAAAGTGCAAAACTGTTTCTTCACAGCAGGGATCATGAGAATCTGAAAGCAGAACCTGCAACTGTGCTCCAGAAAAGTGAGACTGGTAATACAGGCATCATGAACAGAGACCCCCCAGTTCCCACTAATCCCACTGATCACCAAACTCATCATGTCGCAAGTGATGTGAAAGAGAGCAAGCACCAAGACAACCAGCAACTCCAATCAGAAGTACATAGCATGAACAGGACCAGATTTCTGGATGGTAAAGTAAGTCACAAGTACTAAAATTTTTCTTAGTAATTGACTGGGAAAAATATAGTTAGAATGGGAGCAAGTTCACAGAAACACACACTTGTGCAAGTGGTCATTGATAAGATAGCACTAGAAACCTTTTTTTTTTGTTTGGAAGTTGATTTTTGGGTTTTCCTTCTTTTTTTTGGTTTTCGGTTGGGTTGTTCACCTTGTTTTCCTTGACTAACTCAGTGATGATAATATAGCAGTCGGTGCCACTTTGTATGCATATTTGGAATGTATTGCAAGGAGAGGGCTTGTCTGCCTTAAGAGAGAAGATTGAAGAGATATTTACAGAAATAGATCATTTACTTTAAAAATGCAATGCAACCATGTCTACATATCAAATATTACCATCCCCAAGCCCTCTTGATAGACATATGTGTGATTGCACTCTGTTAACCAAACAATCCACAGTAGAGTAAGTTGATAGTGATAAATCTCAATGATTAGTAATTTGTAATTAAAAAGCAAGAATAGCAGCACTTGAAATCTGGATCCAAATCAAGACAAAGTTAATGTTTCATTGATAACAAAGTACATTTCCAAAAACTGCTGAAATTGCAATTAAGCAGATACAGAGTGGGAGTTTTGCAGTGCTGCCAAGCATTAAGTGACAGCCAGATATTTTAGTAGAGTACTGAATTAGTCTGCAGTAAACTCTAACATCATTATTTTTAGTTTATAATTTTAATAGTCCTTACTGAATCACTCCAAAACTAGCTAGCCTGTAGTCCTATGGGAAAATAAAAGCCTATGGATTCATGATTGTTAGCTCATAAGAACTCTGCAAAGACTGTAACTTGAAGTGGTTAACAGAGGGCTTCAGACCATACTCTACATGTTTTGGCTGAAGGTGTATCCAGAACTGACAGTGACTGCCCAACCTGTCAGCGGCAGAGCTGACACTGGAGCACCAATCTCCTCATCCTCAGAGAATGTTCTGGCTCTACCATGACAGGGAATTTTCTGGCTCTACCATGCTTCAGCTCAGGGCCTTTTAGAACAGGAGAGGATCGCTTTGCAAAGCTTCAGTAACCTATTAGGAAGTTCTAGGGACCTGAGTTTTTACTAATTGTGACCCTGAGTTTAATATATTTAATTATTGCTCACCAAAGATGGCCTTGGTAATTATTATATTTAGGAAACATTTTGTTATTGACAAATTATATTCTTATAAATTTGATCATTTGTACCCTTGAGGGATAAATTGCTAACCCTTGAGGTTGGTGCCTCTGTGATTTCTATCAATATGCTGTAGATGGATGGTAAAACTAGGACTCAGTTAAGAGATGTGACCCAAAGCTGTGCAAATAATAGTATTTGTCCAGGTTTTCTTTCTTTTTTCTTTAAAATGTTACTGATTTATAATTATGAAATAGTAAATAAGCATGTAAAAATTTTAGAAAATGAAAACATAAATAAGAGGAAAATATAGTTCCATCTAAGAAAACTGTAGGTGTATTTCTTTTCTTCATGTTATTCTATGCATAGATATAAGTTGAGATTTATTATTCACATTCTGCTTGCTATCTTGTTTGGCTCCTTTCATTTCTGGAATTCTTCCTCTGGCTTCCCAATGTTCATTCTAAGTATCATCTTGAATGAACACTTGAATAGCATTTACCCTGTGCCAAGTACTATTCTGATCTCTTTGAGGTAGTAAGATTCATTATTTTCATTTTGTAGGTGACAAAATGAAACAAAAATGGCAAGTGTCTTGTCTAGTTCCTAAGTCTGAGAAGTAGCAAAACCACACTAAAGCCCAGAACCTAGGACCTTATTTAGCAGACTGTATACATTACTTTTTATGGATATGCCATGCTCAGGTAATGACTCCCTTATGATGGGTATTTAAATCTTTTACACTTTTTCTCTTACAAATAAAAATTTGCTTCTTGACACTTTCCCTGCCACATCAAGCTGCTTCTTCCTGGTACTGACTCCACAATAGCTATTGTAATAGCATGTTATTTGGATAAGTTGTTCTTGGACTTTCAGGATAGCCCTTGCTAGCTCTGTAATTGAGAGTAATGATTTGCTGCTCTCCTCCCTGAACTCAATGAGGTTCCTTAGGGGGTGCTCAGCAGAGCCACCAAACTCAGCAAGGCCTCATGGGAGGTGTGGGGCCTGGCTAATTGGTTCTGTCTGCCGGTGTTGGCCTGCCAGATGGCAGTCACGGCTCCTGGTACAGAGACCCTCATTACCACCTTGAGTATGGGGTCCTGGAATCCCGCTGTAGTAAAAGGAGCAAACCAATCAGAATCCCTTCTAGAACCGTATCCCTCACACATAGATGAAAATAAACTTGGTTGCCTGCCATGTTGCACACAATCTGGAAAGCAACTGAATTTGCTCCAAAAGGTAAATTGTTGATAAAAACTGAGCTTTATGGGTGGGTGAGGGTGGGCAAGAATTAAGCTCTTCTAAAGTTTGAAGACCATCATTAATAGGCGGTGAGTATGCTGGAAATGGTTAGCAACTCCTTTGTTTTATGTATCTGAGTACATTAACATGTGTTAGAAATCAATAAACGGAAACCTTCATTTCACAACTGAAGAATAAGAGGTTCAGAGAATTCCCTGCCACATTAAGCTGCTTTTCCCTGGTACTTTCTCCACATTAGCCGTTATAATAGCATGTTATTTGGATAAGTTGTTCTTGGACATTCGGGACAGTCTGTGCTAGTTCTGTAGTACTAGAGAGAAATGATTTGCCCCTCTCCTTCCTGAACTCAATGAGGTTTCTTGGGGAGGTCTCACAAGTAAGGAGATTGGCTCTTCTCACAGTGAGTCCTCAGCTCTTTTGTCTCAAAATTCTGTTGCTCTCTAGTCTTTGAAAATACAGATATTGTCTATATTGTGTCTCAGAAGCAACAGCGCTGCCTTTTCTCAGAAAATAAAAAAGAATGTGTGATAGAAATAAACTCTGTAGCACAGTTTCAAAAATAAAATTAGTGTGTGCCTTTTGCATCTGGCAGCATGAACATGAAAGTGTGGGTACTTTCATTTTAATAATTACCACAGATGACTGATAATGTGTTCCTTTCAAAGGCTCTTTGTGTATTTTATCTTTTTTGTTCTTCCCAGACACCTTTGTGAGGTTGGGAGAGGCATGTGATGTTATCCTCATTTTATAGACGAATGGGCAGAGGTCAGGAACATTTCTACTTAGCTGTGTCTTTGAGCTCGGATTCAACGAGTTCAAAGCAGAACCTTTGACCCTGCTCTTCTTCCTGTGGTCTGAGTCTCATGAAATGGTCCACCACCTTCCCAGTGGCATCAGCAAGAAGCCCAGTCATGCTTTCTTCCTCTCTCTCCCTAACTCTGATATCCAGCTAATCACTGAGTCCTTTAAATTCTATGTCCTTTACGTCTCAAAATTGTCCTCTTCTCCCATCTTCCCAAAAGAACACTATACCTCAGCAGGAAAAAATTAATTATCTTCAAACTGGCATTCCTCTTTCTGTTTCCCTCTCTGTAATTGTGACAGTCATTGTGATAACACTGTTATGTCCCAAACTACCCCAATGTCAGTGTTTATTCCAATCATACTTACATCTACAACTAGTTGAGCCAGGATTTTCTCACTTCACTTTGACTTCATTCTAGACTGTAGATTTGTTTCAGGTGATGGAAACATTTCTGGAGGATACATTCAGACACATTACTCAACTACAATACATTTTATGTTTTTGTGTCATATGCAGTAACCACCCATTGGCCAAAGCTATTCACATGGCAAATCACAGCACGAATATGCTACCACTTTTAGGAGGACTTTGAATCCAGTGATCAAGTGTAATCCCTACTTAGCCCATAATGCCTTTTATTTTCCCTAATTTTATGTGTGTCTGTCACAGACCCCTTTCTTGAACAAAGAAAACTGTATCCAATTGCTAAAATATTCGCTTCACATGTTAATAGCATATTGCAAAATTGATAGTAAAGCAAGTGGTCTTCTTTGGGGGACTCAGTGACTCAGAGGACTAAAATTTACTTAGAACTGGGCATATGTTTTCAGAAATTAGATGGATCATTGGGATTCTCTCCTCTGTTCTTTCTAGACAACCACCCCTTTTTCCCCCCTTTTGTCTTACTAAAACTTGTCTTTGTATCTTTAAGATCCGCGGCCAGGCAAATGTCTACTGTAGCTCTGTACCAAGTGGAGACCAGTCTCTGTCCTACATCCATGGCCTCCCCAGGAGAAATTTTAGAGACTGGTCCTTGGAGCAGATGATGAGAAACAATTCTGACCAACCTGAGGTGTGTATACTAAGATGTACTGAGATGTTTTGCATTGCAGATGAAGGGGACTGTTTTTTAACAGTATGTTTTGATGTGAAGCAGATGATAAGACAGTCTGAGGATAGATGGTGGATCCCTTATGCCTAATCAGACTTCCAGGAAGCTTCTGACAAATAAGCAAGCCTCATATGTCTCAATTGAACTCATCTCCCTTTCGCCTTTCTCCTTCCAGATCCATGGGTCTCTGGATATTTGATTCTAAATTTTCATGTGGTGAAAATTATTATGCAAAAGACAGATGATATGTATTATATATTAAGGGCTCTTCTAAGAGAGTGTGTACTCTAAAATGATTTGCTTTCTTCTTTTCCTGACAGAAAAGGCCCAGAGGCATGATAAACTCCTAAGTACAACAGTTTCAGGTTTGTTATTTTTTTGTTTTTGCTTTATTTTACTGTGATTTCAGGATATCCAGAGGCCGAGTGGAACAACAAGAGAAGACACTTTCCTGCTTGCCCTGGTCCAAAGAGAACTCAAGTCATGTCCTTTGAGTTCTGACTTAGTAGATAAGCTTCAGAAAGAGCTGAAGATCCTAGATCCTATCTCTTCAGGATTTCTTCTTCAATCTCAGCTGAGTTGCCTCTTCTTGAAGCATGGAGTTCCTCTACAGTTACCAACAATCAAGATCCTATGTCAGAGATTTTCTCAGCAGGACTCCCCTGAAATGGTATGGCCATCTTGCTATTTTTTAAGTTTGGAATTATTTTGTTAGACTTGCACCCACCCAAGTAAATAGAATGAAAGTTTGGTATCTATCATGAAAAATAACCATGATAACTGACTGTTGGGCACTTATTTATATTTATATCTGGCAAATTCCAGCAGAATAGATCAGAGGTGAGAACAGAAAATAGACTTAGGTCTCCCAGTCCTGTTTAATATCTCTCAAAAGGGAAAACTCTGCTAAGCTTTCCTATGTCATGACAGTTACAAGAGAATGAGAGGTAGATGGTATGTAAAACAAAAATCACCACCACTGATTTACCAGCTAGGAAGCTGAGACCCGGAAGTGTCAACGAACTTGCTTAGAACATCCTGAGAATGCATGGTAAGCCAGGGCTGAGATAAAGATTTTCTATTGACAAAACCAGTGTTCTTTTTCTGAGAAGTCCATTCTCCATGCACACATTTGTGGGGTGAATATAAAGCATAGTTCAAGTGTAACTAAATTTGAGAAGCTAAAGAAAAGAAGAAGTAATAGCAATAGGCAAAAAAAAAATAGTGAACATTTGTCAATAGAAAACCAGACCAATTAATCTCATGGAGGTGTTCTAGGAATTTAGCAGTATGATAAATGCAAATTACCTGATCTTTTGCCTGCAACTTAGTTTTAGTTGTCTCCTGCTTCTCTAACCTGAAAACATAGATTTCAGTGTATATTTGGGAGAAGTATTTAACAATGCACTGTCGGGGAGTTAGTACAACCTGTTACCAATTTTTGTTCAGTCAAATTTTTTCTGGCCTAAGACCTAGTTTATATACAGCTGCTTATATGACTTTCCCTTTCCCCCACCCCCACACACATACTCTCTCCCTTACTGCACTGGAATTGCTACCCACCAGAATCCCTATAATGCCTTTTAGTCCAGCAAGTGATGGGGAGGTAAAGAGAGAGATCAAGAGGAACAGAAAAGAGATTAGAGGGCAAGTTATGCTACAGGAACAAATAGTCACGAAATCTTAGTGGTTTAGAACAGTAAACATGTATTTTTTGTGTATATTACATTTCCATAAAAAGCCAGAAGCAGGCTACAGTCAATATTGTCACTCTCTTAGCTTCAAGTCAGTTTCAAGTAATGAAACTGTCACTCTGGAATATTTTTGGACCTGGTGGCAGAGGGGAAAAAGTGTTCCTGACAATCACATGTTAACTGTTTAATCCTCGACCCAAAAACTGGCACATCAGTCTGGCTCACAATTCATTGGCCAGAATGGGTCATGTGGCCCCATCCAGGGCAAGGCAACCAGAAAGCATAAGCTTACCATTTGTCTAGATGGGTGAATCATAATGATATTTGGTAAAAAGCACTAATACTTATACTACCTTATATTTAAAGATCTTTTAAAATGTTTCGCCAGCAAAAAATTTCCACTTAACATTTTATCTTCGAGACCTGTTTCCCTCGTGTGTAAATTAAATGAAAATGTTCAGTTTTATGTTTAATTTTCAGGTTAATTATGGAAAAGTACTCTGGTTTTTAAAAGTTGCATCTTCAGATGAGTCACAGCAAAGCAAAAGAGTTGTGGATAGCAGTCTGAGGAAAATTCAGGGTTCTACCCTTCAGCGCCAAAGGTACTGTCCCCCCATTTTGTGGTTGCCTTGTTTCTAGATGTCTAGAGTGGGCAGGAGTCTCAGAAGTCATTTATGAAAAGCTCACCCAGTGTGGGATCACTCTGTGTTCACCAACACTTGGCTGACGCTTCTGGTTTTCTCCCTCTCACGAGCCAGCATAGGCAGTTAGATGCAGTAATTACGCATGTTTCTTATCATGTATAATCAAGCATGTGTCTTTTTTATGAAGTCCTGTGCAAAAATGGAAAACCTCATCATGAATTAGGAAATGACTCTGTACTGGTGCAGAGCTCATCTATAAGCTGTGATTTCAGAAATATGTTTAGTGAGTGAACTCCTGGATTATAGGCATTAATGAAGAAAAAATTGAGTTACAAAAGTCAAGAATCCTTTCCCATAATCTCAAGGGAAAAAAGTAACTCTAAGTTACTAAGATACTGTGAGGTGTATCATTAGAGATGAGGCCAGTAAAGGATGATCGTCCCTTTCTTTCCTCAGAAAATGACAAGGTGAAAATTAAATGACAACATGAACCAGAGCTCAGTTGCTGCCTTTGCCATGCTGTGGGCCTGGAAACTTGGCTCTGTTACTATGGCTCTCTGTGCCTTCATTCTCCAGCTGCAAAATGGGAACAATAATGGTCTTCCCCTGCCCTTCAAAAGTTTATGAGTTAATTAATGTCAAGTTCTTAAAAGGAGTACCTGGCATACAATAAGTGACATGTAATTTTGCTATATTTTTTAATTGTCTTTCCAGAATACACTCTTTTCAGTTACAAAATGACATGATACAGTGGCAAAGTTGGAGCATTGGAGTTCACTGCTTCTCTCTAGGAAGAAGGAAGGACTTTCTGTAAAAATGTCCCTGAACCATGTATTAGATTTGATTTCCTCCTACCATGTGCTTATTTGACAATCACACTTCATTCAGCAAACATTCACTGAGTACCAGCTGCTTGCTACATGCACTTACTGGGCACATGAATTTAGAGCTTGGAAAGGTTGATCTCAGAGGTTCACAGTCCAAAGAAAGGGAGACAGCCATGTGGGTATACCAGTTAAATGCCTCTCTGGGAGCCAGTGTCTTACTGAGAGACACAGAGTCCTAGAAATTCTTAATCATCAGTGACTGCAGTTCATTAGCCTAGAGGGTGAGTTTTGTCCCTGAGAGGTTATAGACTATGATATAGAACACATGACCGAGCCACTTATTGGCAGATAATGGGTCTTAGGAATCCTAGACAGGAAACCTCTCCTTAGTCCTAGACTAGTTTGGGCCCTATCTCTTTGCTCTGTGACCCTATAATCCTCTTCCTTTATGGTATCATTAACATTGTCATTACTTATTTGGCATTTGAGGTTAGAATTAGTATCTGCCATGGCCTAATCAGTGTCTAGCATAGTTCTAGCTAGTTTCTGGCACAGGGGAGATGCTCAATAAATATTTGGTAAATGTAATTGGTCCTCTAAGCATGCATCACTTCACTTGCAGGGACATCTGGGTCTCTATTTAAAAAGTGCATAGAGAGATCATTTAGAACTCATCAAAGAAGGTGCTACTTTATCCAAACTAGATAGTGTATTTGTGGAAGTGCAGGACTGATAGCCTATAATGAATCCATACTCTTTGTTAATTAATGTGCTCCTCAAGAAAAGCCCCTCCCATGTTTTGTCAGGTAGAACCTCTAATGAGGCAGCTCTGTGATGTTTAAAAAGCCTCTGGCATCACAAACAGCAGCAGGAATGGCAATAGCTTTCATCACCTAAGTTGGACCAGATGAAATAAACTCCCACAGCAGGTTTTCGAAGAAACCCCACCAGCTGCAGTAAATGGGTTCCATATAACACCTGCCTGTTCAGCACTCTGTGTACTGAGCTAGGAGCCAAAACCCCATGAATCCCTACCCTCAGGAACTGGCATTGCAAAAAAAGAAAAAGAAAAGGCAGACTTCTGATTCAAATCTGGGACAGAGCCATCTGATTGGCACAGACTGGGTCATGTGCTGTAGCAGCAGAGAGAAGCTGGTATAGCAATAACTGGCATTTTTTTCTGCTGGAGTGAGAGGCAGACTCCTGTGGTAGAGACCCCCTGAATAAGAGAAGGGTGCAGAAGTTAGGTGACTGAAACAAAACCCATCACCTGAACGACGCTTTTAAAAAATATTAGGGATTGGCCCTTCCTGATGGCGCAGTGGGTTAAAGCACAGCACTGGAAGGCTAAAGCCACTTCAACATGAGTTTGATCCCTGCCTGCCCCGGAGGTGACCACATGGCGCTGCAGATCTCTCCTGGCCACCCGCTGCTCCCCTCAGCAGTGTACTTCGTCGATCTGCCTGTTCTGCTCCCCGCTCTGTCTCTGGTGAATCCTCTCACCCTCCGCATCTCTGGCCTGTACCCCAGTTCTGCATGAATAAATAAATAAATCTTTAAAAAATATATTAGGGATTATTGATTAGTCAACTGCTATAGTTTTGACTCAAACTCAAGAGGCTCAGAGGAAAAAGATACAAAATGATGTTTAGAAATAGTTACATACATCTAGAACCTGTTCCATTCCAGGTACTCCACAAGACCCTTAGGAAATAGTAAGGAACAAAATTGATACAACCCTCCTCTGAAGGAGCAATCTTTTAAGGACATGAGACACAAAACAGTGACCAGAGAAATAAAGTTGTGATTGTAACTTGAGGAAACTTATGAAGGAAAAAAAGCAAAGAGCTGTGATAACATAGGCCAAACAGGAAGGTGCTTGAGCTGGGTGGGAAGAGCAGTTATGAGCATCAGGTCTGACCTCCTCATTCAGTGACATCAGATTGATAGCATGAAATTGACGGTAGTGGGACTGTTTACTCCATGAATATGCATAATACTACAAATCAGTGCCTCATCCGGGAAAACTGCCTGTTCAAGATTTAACAAACACAACACTTAAAGGGAATTCATTTACATGAGTAGACACTGGGAGATGCCATAAAATGTCCCTCTAAGAAAGTGGCACTTAATTTAAGATAGTGAAATTAGCAAAAACTTCACCATAGAAAAGGTAATCCCAGTCGATCTTGATAGACAAATGCCTTTGAATGTTAAAAAGAGTCAGTCTCAAACGTTTCATAAAATAAATGATGACAACCCTTTATTACCCTTGTTGCTTTTACCTTTAATTTAAAATAACAATAGTCGGTTATAGAGGCCATCTCAGGAATTTGTATGTGACATGGTAAATAAATAACAATTTCCAAACCTTTTCTCCAGCTAGAAAGAGCAGGGGAGAGGCAGAAAGTTCTCCTAGCTCAGGTCTTCCTTCTTTATACGTCCCCTTGTTTACATAGACCTGGAAAGATCTGTTTTGCTTGTGGCTTGAATGATTTGGGAATTTGATTTACCATCATTAATTATCTGAGTTTTTCTCTCAACCTGAAATAAGAGTTTAAAAGGTGGATTCCAAATTTGGGTCAATGTTCTAGTGAAATTGATCAGTACCTCCTAGAAAGGAGGCAGGCACACTCACTGGAATGGAAAGGTTTGAATTTCTGATCTCCACATGCTGTCCCTTGACTATTTGTAGAGACATATTTGGCCTTACAGGGTGGGTTCTAATTCCACAGTGTATATCAGGTGAGAGATGTGTGGAAACACAGTGGCTTTGATTGGACCACCCTGTCACTCTTTCTCTTTCCCTTCCCAGCAGCCCTGTTCCAGAAGACTCTAACCCACAGTCAGCAGCAAACCAGAGCCTGTTAGAGATCTTAAAGATGGCACTCAGGACCACCAGTGGCAAACTCAACATAGAGAACCTCAATCTGAGTTTTCGAAAAGAAGACCGCTCATTCTCTGGGTGCCTGCCTCCACCCAAGGTAACCAAAATTAAATTTCATCACGTTTGTTCATCTCTAGAAGGCTCTCTGGGATATCAGGCCTAGAGTTAAGATAGAATTATATTTTGTATTGTGCCTGTAGGTTATATTAAAATTGTGTTTCTGTGCCCAGAAGAAAGAAAACAAAAGAGAAAAAAAATTGTAAAATAAGTAGAATTGATCAAGGCATTTCTTATATTGAGGTATGTTTTATATGAATAATAGAGAATATGGCAATACCCATCTATTATAAAAAAATATTTCTCTAAGAACAAATGTTCATTTTTCACATCTTCTGCCCGCTTCCAGTAAGGTCAGTTTGTGATACCCCATTCTAAGGGATACCACATCTTAAGGAATGATGTGATGTATTGCTGATAAAGACTAGCATGTTTATTTTAAAGCATTAACAGTGCAGATGAGTTCTATAAAAAGATCCAGAACCATATTACTTCCCATGTCATCTGTAGTCAAAGAAATAATACTGCCTTTGATATAGGGAAATAATGACTGTTATCACTACAGTAGCACGTCACTACCAATTTTTAATCACTCTGACACAGTGCCAAGTACTGTGCTTTACTTATGTTGTCTCTCTTAACACTTATAGTTAATTGCTTACAAATGACCATGAAATCCAGGTAGATAATATAATACCTATTTAATAAATAAAAATATCTAAATATCAAGCCAGTCAGTTGAATCTCCCAAGGGCCACATTTAACAAGTGATGGAGCTAGGATTCAACATATAGCAGAGTATTTGAAATTGAGAGCCAGAGTTGGAACTCCATTTGGCAAAAGATATCTGGAACATCTTTTGAGCCCAGGATGCAAGTTATAATTCCAGAGTAATAAAAGAGATTGGAAATTATAGGGAGGAAAAAAATGTCATGTCTGAAAATTAGAAAATAACTTTCTTTTAAGTAGATAGAATAGAATTGAGAGAGTCAGAAAAAATTTATTTAAAGAGTTATTTATTTATTCATACAGAACTGGGGTACAGGCCAAAGATGCGGAGGGTGAGAGGCTTCACCAGAGACAGAGTGGGGAGCAGAACAGGCAGATCGACGAAGTACACTGCTGAGGGGAGCAGCGGGTGGGTCAGGAGAGGTCTGCCATACCATGTGGATCTCCTCCAGGGCAGGCAGGATCGAACTCATGGGGAATTGGCTTAAGTTTCTTAGTGCTGTGCTTTAACCCGCTGCACCACCAGGGAGGGCCCGAGAGAGTCAGAAAATTTAAAAGAATAAGTAATGTTTACTAAGGGAGCAAGGACATGGTATGTAAAAGTGGGTTCTTATTGTAGAACAGAAGCCACTTTCTCTATGCGTTCATATTTACAATCAAGCAAACATGCAACGGTAAAACTCAGATTAGTATATATGCATGTGTGTATGTAAATATTACACTTGCAAGCATGTTTCACTTGAAAGAGAACACCAGAAGAGATTCTAGTCATTGCAACTGGACTTTATTATGTTTAAAAGAAAATCTGCAAGAAATATACTAAGAAATATCATTTATGGTTAGATTGAAAAGTACATAACATTACCAGTGAAGCTTGAATGTTCTCAGATGATAGTCATAGAATGGAACTAAAACGATTTAAAAATCAAACTCTTTGAGTCTTAGATTATTCATCTAGAAAAACGGGCTTTCCTTCCTGTGTCCTTTGTGAGAATTAAATAAGATATGTATATGAGGGCCCTTAGCAGTGACTATGAAAGCAAACCTTGACTGCCTTCCCCCACAGCTGGTTGTGAAAGCTTACATTTGTGGTTGATATCTAAGGAAATAGGGCACGTTTTCCTTGAAGCTGGTCTGCCTCTCGTGAGCCATCTGGCATCTTTTAGACATCTGGAACTCACTCAAAGTATATTACAGTTCTGGGAGGCATGTAAAATAGAATTCTGTTTCCCTAGAATGTGAGACAAATTGAGGCCCAAGGGACATTGGATATGGAAGACAGCAAGACCTGTACCCCAATATTCTTGCTCTTGGACTCAGGATGACAGAGAAGACAAAGGCCACCTGAGTTGAGGAGTTTTCTTTTTGGACAATAATCCTTAATCTCCTGAAGATAGAGAGGGAGAAATCACAGATTTTTAAATTTCTCATGAAATCTACATATCCTATCCCCAAAGTACGGGGGTAAGAGGGGTAGTATCCTCACACCCAACATTTCCGAGCATTCTTAGGTACATGCAGTCTTGAAAGATAATCTCTGAGTTTTGTCACTCAAATCAATGAAATATTGATCATTCTCAGAGAATAACAAGCATGTAAAAATCTTTTATCCTTGTTCTGTGGACTCAGGCTACTCCTCTATTATGTCTTTTCTGCAGTGAGGACTTCTGGCAGGAATATTGAGGCAACATAGATCAACATACATTTACGTATTTACTAACTGTGCTGACCTGGGTATAGATTCAAGTTAAGACAGCTCCAAGCATACAAGCTCAGATTAACCCTTTTATACACCATCTATATTTCTCACATCAGTAACTCACTGTCTTTTCTGTATCAGAACCCCAAGCCCATCCCAATCTGTGCTCACACTTAGCTAAAACACATAGAGATCTACCTCTAATTACTCTCAGCTTCATTTCATGCATTTCCTTATCACCAAGAGGGAGTTCTGTTGCAGAAGAAAGCAGGATTTGTGTATGTGAAGTCCATTCTGTGTCTGTGACACTAGTTACCTAATGGCTGGGACAATAAAACATTGTGCAGCTTGCTAGCTTCCTTTTGAACTTAGTTGTGAACTCTTCTGTAAAACTATAAAATTATTGTGACAGACATCAAACCATCCCTTCCTCCAAAGCATTACTCATCTTTCTGATAAATATAGCATTTTTAATCTATCCTTTGGCATGGGGATGAGCATCATGATAAGGCACTGAGGAACATAAGGACTTTTGAGAACTATTGTGATTTCAGTCCCTAAGTTCTCCAGGAGCTCGAGGGAAATGCAGCACTTTAAACATGTTGTCACAATACTGTAGGATATGAGTGAGAGCAGGTACTGAACAGAGAGAAAAAACACCAGCCTAGACTAAAATAAAAAAAAAAAAAAAAACTCTCCAGAGGAGTTGCCACAAATGTTGAAGCATAACAGGTGAATTTGGCAAAGAATGGGGGACAGGAAGAGAGCAAAAGAAGCGATGGGGTAGGCATGCGAGGTAAAAAGAGTGATAGGAAATGACACTGAAATGAGAATTCTAACATGGTTAGAATGGTCATTTCTATAAGCAGAACACACAGGATGAATGTTGGCTGGCTGCAATGGGAGATCGTTTTGACGCTGATGTTAGATTGGAAAGTAGGAGCCAGTTGATTAATGTTCTTTCTAAGGCCTGTGAACTTAATCCTGGGAATCATCAAAGGACATTAAACAAGTGAAGGATATGATAAATCTGAACTTTTTAAAAAGCTTATTAATAGGATTAGGAGACTTAGAGGAAGTAGAGGAAGGGCATTTCAAGAGTCTGAACAAGATAGTATCAGCTTGTCTACCAGGGCAGTAATAGGTGGGGTGGGAGATACTAAGGCAATCGAAAAGTGAGTATTGGCAAGTAACTGGTTATGGATCCTGAATCAGGAGGAATCAAAACGGACTCCCCTAGGTTATGTCATTGGTAAATTGATGAGCAGTGGTATCATTATCTGAGACAGGAGGCAGACAAGGGGTAATGTGGAGGAGTAGAAGTAGGGATAATGAGTTCAGTTTTGATTTGGGTTGAGAGGTGATGCCTACATGATGACTTAAGAGTCTTCAACATGGAGTGGAAGCCAGGGTGGCACAGACCTGAGGGCTGCACAGAAAGTGAGAAGCGAAGGGTGCTCTTGAGAATCATGCCCATTGTGAAAGAGTAGGTAGATGAAGTAACCAGCAAAGGAAACTAAAAATAATCAAGAGAATTAGGTATGATCAAGAAAGGCCAGAGAAACTTTACAAAAGATTGGCAGAATCAACTCTGAGACATATAGAACAGTACCACCTATAATTAGGACTGAAAAGCATTGGCTAAACTCAAAGCCATGGGAGTGGCCAGTGACTTAAAAACCTCAGTTGAACTCGAGCTGTGGGGTAAAATGCAAATGGATCCATACATGAGAAGAGAGGAATTTGAGAGAGCATCTGTGCACCACTCTTTCAAGGAGCAGTTTGGGGAAATGAATATTTATCTCACATGTCAATTTAAAATAGCACATAGGTACATTTGATTAAAAATTTCCATATTGAGGAAATGACACATGATCAAATTTCTCTTACTGAACAAGGGTCATTATTATGAATACTCATGCTTTCAAATTTTAATAATAATCCTGAATAATGCTAAAATACTAAGATTTTTTAGATGTTTCTGTTGCTCCTTTAAAACTGTCAGCAATCAGTTCTTCGCAACTATCAATCAATCTGCTTCTAGGAACCCTGATGTACTATTTCTAATCTGCTGTTCATTTTAGCCTAGAGCAAACCTCATTGTTGCCAGAAGTAAATGAACTGTTTTTAGAATAACCTCTTAATATTGACGTTTAAAATTACATCAATATGATTTAATCACAAATTATTCAAAGATTATTCAAAACTCCATATTTATGGAGTAAAATGGCATAACATGACTAATTTCTATTTCTCTAAATTTGTATTTTGCCAACCTCTACCCCTACATACTCTGCTCTTCAGTGTCTTCAAATCATTCATTCACTCCCTCACTCATGTGTATTCATTTATTCAACAATTATGATCCTTCATTTTTCAACAATACACTATGCTGTGGTCATAGGAAAATGAATGAAACATAATTCTAGCTACAAATAGGCCACCATTTTGTAGAAAAACTCTAAAAGATAATTACTGCTTAGTCTAGAAAGAGCTTAAGGCTATAGTAGAGTAGATAATGTCAAAATACACACAGTTTCTTTTTTTTTTTTTAAGATTTATTTATTTGTGCATACAGAACTGGGGTACAGGCCAGAGGCTCAGGGGCGGCGAAAGATTTCACCAGAGACAGAGTGGGGAGCAGAACAGGCAGATCGACCAAGTACACTGCTAAGGGAGCAGCGGGAGGGTCAGGAGAGGTCTGCCACGCCATGTGGTCTCCTCCGGGGCAGGCAGGAATCGAACTCATGCAGAAGTGGCATTAGCTTCTCAGTGCTGTGCTTTAACCCGCTGTGCCACCAGGGAGGGCCAACACACAGTTTCTTAAAAACACCATATTCTCTCTTCTGCCTGGAGTTCTCCCCAACCTCTAATTTTACTTCTTTTGACATTTAAAATTGATTACTTTTTTCCTGTCTTAAGTTTTTCTGACATTAACCCTCTATGCCAATGCAAGTTTTGGGTTTAAATTTGTTTGTTTCATTCCATGAATACAGTTATATCATTGTTTTCAAATATTGATTTTTTTTTATTATTATTCAGGTACAGTCTGACTAACAGATCATGTGATTGGCATTGAAAAGAGAGATCAGATTGTTACTCACAGTACCCAAGAGGCCAAGAGGAAGCCTAGAAACATCCTTCGGCACTCAGGCCACATGGAGAGGCACCAGGGTCTCAGGAGGAAAGGAAAATGTGGGAAAATGTCCAGTACTACTACAAAGAAATTGTGGTCCAAGTGGCACACTCCAGTCAATCCTTTACTTTCTCCTGGAATTGACTGCACTGGGAGAGACAATCTCTCCCTAGGTCAGCAGACTCCAAGAAGTCAAAGCTTCAGAATAAAAAGAAGCTTAATCCTGTCACTAGATACAAATTGCTCTCAAAACAAATGACTATAGTTATTGTTTAGTAGTAGCAGCTATTTTTAGACTATGATTTAGTCTAAAAACTACATGATACATAATTTTCTTCCTTCTTTCCTCCTTCTCTCCCTCCCTCCCTTCCTAATTTCCTTTTTGTCTTCCTCCTTTCTTTTTTGTTTCTCTTCCTTCTTTCTGGTCCTTTAGCTCCTCCCCCTCCCATAGAACATCATACCATTGACTCCCTTTACCTGATTTGGCAATGCCCATCCCAGGTGTGTAACTTCTAGGTTATGATTACCCATTTTATGGTTGACAAAATGCAAGGTCAGTATTTTAATATCCAGGGACTTCTGAGTAATGAAGTATTACCACTGTGTCAGCCAAATGAAAGTTTCACTGTTGATCAATATTCAGTGGGAAATTCTTATCCTGAAAACTGTCCTCATAATAGAATGCTTATCTGTGTCTTGCTGTTTTGTCAAAAATATGTTAATTCTAAGAGGGAAATTAAAATTTCATTTCATTATAGTGAAATTTCAATTCTTTTTTTTTCAGGTCAGAGCTATCTGTGGGAAGCATGGATTATATCTGACTTTGAGCCTGTTAGAAACACTGCTTAGCTATCAAGATTTGGGCTACCATGATGAAATAAAGTAAGTTGGTATTTATTCACACAGTCCTCTTTCTAGGTTTGTTGACTGTTTCAAAGAACAAAGCCTTAGATTTTCGAAAGGAATGAAAATTCTCCGACATTAGCAAATGTAAAATTTACAATCTCTAGCATCCAGATGAAAATTACAGATAGAAAAGTACAATATATTATTAGGAGAAAAAGCAACTAATAAAAGTAGATTAGTAGTGATAGATGTAGTAGACAAGCACATTAAGCCCTTGTAAATATACTTAATATTTTTAATATAGTGTAGGAAAATTTGAGCATAATGAGAGGTATGGGATGGGTACGTAGGTAATAGACAGACCCAAGTGAAACTCCTGAGATTAAAAAAATACAATATCTTCCCCAAACCAAAAATCTCAGCCTAGTAATGAGAAAAAGTTTAGACATCCTAGTAATACTCATAATTGTGAAGACTATTAATAATAAGGAAAATCTGAGAAAATGTCATAGCCAAGAAAACTTTAAAGAGACATAAGGATCAAAATATGGTAGACAAGATAGACTCTGGAACAACAGACATTTATGTAAAAAAAAAACTAAGGATATTGGAATAAAGCATGCACTTCAGAGTAATGTGTCAGTATCGGTTAGCTACTTTTAATAAGGTTTATACTCTAAGATGTTTTGATAAAAGAGGACACTAAGGGAGGCTCATGGGAATTCTCTACACTATCTTTTTTTTTCTGTGTACCTAAAACTATTAGAAAATTAAAATTTATTTTAAAGATAAAAGTCTGAAATCACATGCTGGAGGGAGAGCCTATTAGACATTGCAGTGTAAAAGTGAACTTAAAAAAGAAATAATCACTATCTAAAATAAAACTCAGTGTTGAAAAAAAAATCAACAAAAGCTAACAGAGAACCACTAATTTGTGATAACATCAGTGGCTGAAAGCATGGTAAAATGGAATTTCATAAAGGAAAGTGAGAAAAGAAAGAAAGAAAAGAATACTGAAAAAATAATGTCTACAGTTTTCCATTTTTTAAGAAAATTATAAAGATGATTCCAAGAAGCTCAGTGAACCTCAAGTACAAGAAATTTGACATAAACCACACAAAGTTTCATTATAACCAAATTGTTTAAACTGGTACTAGTGAAAAAAAATCTAGAAAAACAACATTAAAAATCACAACAGAGGCCCTCCCTGGTGGCGCAGCGGGTTAAAGCACAACACTAAGAAGCGAAAGCCGCTTCCACATGAGTTCGATTCCCGCCTGCCCTGGAGGTGATCCACATGGCGCGGCAGACCTCTCCTGACCCACCAGGTGCTCCCCTCAGCAGTGTACTTCGTCGATCTGCCTGTTCTGCTCCCTGCTCTGTCTCTGGTGAATCCTCTCACCCTCTGCATCTCTGGCCTGTACTCCAGTTCTATATGAATAAATAAATAAATCTTAAAAAAAAAATCACAACAGATTTCTCACTAGAAACAGTTTGGTCCTGGCAAAGTAAAATAGTATGCTTAAAGTCTTAAAAGAAGAAAAAATTATATCTAAAATTTCACAGAACTCTTTTAGAAGCTAACATGAAATAAAACCTTTTTCACATGTAGAAGTGAGACTTCATAACCAACTAACCAGACCTAAGAGAAATATTAAAAGAAATCCTGTTTTTCCTCACATTTCCATTCCAGTATCTTGTACTCCAATATTTAGCACTTAATAGGGGAACTACCAACTAATAAAGTCATCCATTTATCCATTTCACAAATATTTATTAAGTGCCTACTGTATACCAAGCACTACTCTATTCACAGGGAATATAGAGATGGATAAAGCTAAAAGAAACCCCTCTCTCATGAAGCTTGCATTTTAATAGAGAAGAGAAACAATAAATAAACTAGAATCTGACACAGCTCAGAGATAGTGCAATACAAAAAAATAAGGAAGCATAAAGATATGGGAGCCATTAACTGATCAATAAACGATGCTACCATGTCTAGCCTAGCCCGTGATTTTCCTTTAGGACAGTTCTGGAGGTGGCAGCTTCCTTCCTCTAAAACCTTGAGGGTGGTTGGGTAAGGGTGACGAGGAGGGTGACTAAGGAACACCTGCAGAAAAGTGAGTTGATAGCTGAGTAGAAAAGCAATAAGCTAAAATTGGGAGTTCCCCAAAGACGCCAATATAAACAGGAGAAAGGGTAAGTTTCCGGGCTCATGCTATAGCTGATAGAGTGAAGGCACAGGGAGATACACGTGGACTACAAGTTGGGGTTTAGAATGAAGATTCCAGGAATCAGAGAAATGAGAAGTAGAGTGAATGGGATTAGGCTACTTGCAGTTGCATCCATGTTCTCAACCTCCCACTGTTTTAATTGCAAATCTGAAAAACACGCCAATTTTTTTATTCACTTAAGATAAATCTTAAGTCTTTAAACATTGAAGACTTTCAAAACCATGAGAACTGATGACAAGTAGCATTTGTAAGGGATAAACCTGTTCCATCCCTAAACAGACACTGGCTGAAGCTTCATTTGAATGAACTCCTTTCTTTTAAGGGCTTATGTATGCAAACCTATATCCTTAAGAGATTAAAGATGCAATTTAGACACACATTTTAGGAGTGAATGCACGAATCATTATTTTAGTACATATTGTCCATTAATCTGCTGTTCAATTGGGAACCCATTTGGAATGTGGCTGCTTGCTAATTAGCAGGATTCTAGTGCTGAGCTGCTTCCTGATTAAATGTCCTTTAGAATCAATAAAACATCAGGAGGGATTATGGTGATGTGGGATTAGCCCCATCTAACCAAATAAAATGAGTTGTGTTCCCTTCTTAAACTGTCATGTTGCAAGTGCTGATGAGAAGAACAATTTCCTGAACACTGTAGCAAGTTGTTTTTTTTTTTAACACTGAGATTTTGTATTTTGCCATTTGCCTACCAATTAGCAGAGAGAGACATTAGTGAATCACTGCCAGGGTAAGGCGATTTTGAGAAAGACTTGATTACGATTTCAAATCTCTACTCTGAATCACCCTTATGTAAAATGAATTCAGGTTGTGTTGGAGGGAAATTATTATCCCTGTTCTTGGCCAGGAACATGTAAGTCAGAATTAGCATTTAATGTTTCTGTGTGACTTTGCAATAAATGGTAATTAAGGAGGGCAGAGAGAGAACAGGAGGCAAACTAATACTCTAAAATTGTATTGGCAAAATTAAATGCTTCAAGCCCAGTCTAAAATACAGGCACACAAGCCAAATTGTGTGTTGGGGGGAGGGATAAATAATGAAGCTGCTATGGAAGCTTCATAAATAGAGTGGAGCAATTGACACAGCCTCAAGTATGACTTATCATACACATCTGGCCCATTATTCAGAGTGCAATTAGGTTGAAAAAGACGGGTTTGATAATCCTAGGGACAACCAGAGGATTTTAAGAGATAAAGGAAACAGGAGGTGTCTGATTCACCAATTACTTTTTAATGGGAGTAGAAAATTGTTAGCAGTAAGCTATGAGAGATGTGATATGGATCTTCCCAGTGGTTGGAACTTAGACACCAGACATAGCATTTAAAAGGTCATTAATTTCATTCTTCTCTTCCAGAACCCCATTATTCCTATGGTGTGAGAATAATAATAATAGCAATAATAATTCTAAAGTTAGTAACAGTGGTTAATATTTATATAGTTTACTATATTCCAGACAATTGTTATAAGTGCTTTATAAACATTAATTTCTTAATCTTTGTAAGTTCCCCATGAGAAAGGTACTGTTGTTTTTCAGGTTGGGAAACTGAAGCACAGAGATGCTTAAACCTATATGCAACTGATAATTCACCAAGGCTAAATCAAATGCAGACTTTCTAGCTTCATAGTCTTGTCTTTTAATATATTATACAGGTCCTCCAACAAGTCCTAAGAAATTCAGAGGCTAATAGAATACCAACTAGACACAGGAGTTTTAGGACAAATTCAGGTAAGAAAAAACAGGAGCTTTTAGGTTCCAAGGGCAGATATCCAAAGGAACCCAGGTTTAGGAGGTGAATTATTACTGCTTTAGCACAGTTGCTAACCATCACCCCCAAACACACAGAAAGTCAGCATAAGTTCTGGGCTCACATAGGCGTAAGTGGACATCCCAGCTCTACAATTCACTGTATCTTTGGGAACTTGAACAAGTGATTGATTTCTCTTAACCTTAATTTTCTCATGTGCCAAGTGGAAAAGAATTCTTTAACAATTCACAGCCTATGTGTCAGAGAAGTGCTGTGCTTTCTGTGTTAACTGGAAGGGAAGAAGAACAAAAGTTTACAACTTGGACTAAGTGAAGAAAGTGAAAGCAAAGCAACTGTGTGAACACTCAGCTGTTTACTTAAATAGCACAATCAAAATAACCTGTTGAACAAGGATGGAACACATGTGTATCCATCCCAGGCATGGGAATAGATGATCTGCATGACTATCTCATTTCTTATTTCCAACAGCCCCAAGTAATAATGCATACAGAACTGGGGTACAGATTAGAAGGCACAAGTGCAGTGAGAGGATTCACCAGAGACAGAGAGGGGAGCAGAACAGGCAGATCAATGAAGTACACTTTTGAGGGGAGCAGCGGGCGGGTCAGAAGAGGTCTGCCATTCGATCCGGGGCAGGGATCGAACTCATGCTGAAGTGGCTTTAGCTTCTTAGTGCTGTGCTTTAACCTGCTGCACCACCAGGGAGGGCCCTAAATTATGGTTTTTATACCCACTTCATAGCTAAGTGAATTGAGGCTCAGAGACCTTGGGGAACTAAAAACAATAAGACATGCTTCCAGATTCATATGTTAGAACCTTAGTGTCTCCAACCCCAACCAGTACCTAAGAATGTGATCACGGAGATAGGCATTTAAAAAATGTTAAGTTAAAATGAAGCCGTTAGAGTGGGCACTGATCTAGTCTGGCCGATGTCCACATAAAAAGAGGAAATCTGGACACAGATATCAAGAAGGCTCTCACACAGAGGCCATACATAGAAAGGGAGGTGCCAGGTTCCCTGCCCTCCCAAGGAAGGGTGAGCTGAGCAGTGAGGAGAAGCTAGAAAAGACTGGTAGAAGGATGTAGGGAAGAGATAAAAAGGAAAGAAGAAGACGACTAAGGGGAGACACCGGAGGAGGTACAAGCAACAGAGAGACATGGGAGGAAGAAGCCACGCTTGCTTCTTGGTCTTGAACTTGTGCCAGGGATGTGGGGGGCTTAGAAGGAGACACTCGAAAGAGACAGATAGAGGCATGGACTAAAGATCTGTGGAAAGGCTGACAATCTCAGCCTCTGTCTTGGCTTGTATTTCGACTTTGTTCTTTTCCTTCCAGACCTGTCTGGCCTCTTCTGCCCCTTTCCTATGGGCCTACCAGAAGGTGCCTTAGACTTACGGCAAGTTTTTGTCCCTTTTTGCTTCAGTTTGGGCCAACCCTGTTTGGCATTTACCCATAGGCCATGGGTAAATTTGGGCGTTTGATTGGAACTATTTTTACTATATTTTCTGTTCTTTCTATGCACACTAATGGTATTAAAGTTCTTTTCTATTGTTTGCATTATACACTATGTATACTTTGTCTTTAGGTGGTAGAACCTATTTAGAGCAGGTAGGTTTAGGGGTCCTGGGTGCCCCTCTTACTAACACACTGACCACATGAAGATAGAGCAAGGGGGAGGAGGTTGTCAAAAGAGGCCAAATCGACCAGCATCTTGAACTGTAATAAAATGGACTTACTGCTTAATATAGGTCTGGATTTGAAGAGTTTAGTATCTGTTGCCTTTTCTGTCAGAACCTAGGAGAAAGTCAGATTAAAAGCAGCACCAGAACTGTCAGAAAATAAATTTCTTCCAGGTCACCAGTTTGTAGCATTTTGTCCTGCAGCCCCTAACAAATTAACACAGCCCCAAAAGGGGAGCACTGTCCCCTGTAGTCCCTTTCTGCTCCCTCCCCCTTTAAGCAGACTCTGTGTGCCTCACCTGGAGTAAAAAATAACATAGGGCTTTCATAAAGTACCAGGGGGGAAAATATGGCACATGGGTGACTTGGTGAC